GTTCAGTCTTTGAAATCCTGCCTGAAAACTCAGTTTTTTTAAATATTTTTTCAATTATTATTATTATTTTACATTGGCTTTTAATTTAAATTCTGTTTGAGTTCCATCAGAAGTTTGGAATTGTGTTTTTTTCTTTATCCTTTTTAGCCTTTTTATTCTATTGATGGTTTTAATTTCGTTGGATGTTTTTCCTCCTTTTGAAGCACTTTGATCAACGATGTTGTTCTCAAATGTGCTACACTGAACAAATTTATTATTGGGCATTAGCTGGGGCAAGACCATTGCACTATATACCAAATATTGATATTTGAAATTTAAACCTTTACTGTAATTCACCACTAATCCTTGGGGGACCAGAGCAAATTGTGAAGGGGGTGCCACAGCACCCCCCCCCCTTTTTGGTGCCCCTGTTCCTCATAAATAACTTCAAAAGTTGTTGCTAATGATCACACACTTCTTATGCTTTACTTCACATTGGGAGTTACGCCTCAAATAAAAAAACGACATCTCCCTGCATTATGTTTCTGTAATCCAAACCAACACGATGCAACTTTTGAGAAACTGCAGGGGAAAAAAGTGGTTTGGCACAGACCCTGAGATCTGTTCAATGTRGAGTTTGTTTTAGGGAGGAGGAGAAGGAGAAGAAAAAAAATGTCATTTTTGGAGTCGTGGTTTCTTCCAACGYAAGAGCGCGCGCACCAATGAGAGCCTTGGACTCTCCACCCTGTACCTGCCTCCTTTCCCCTTTTCCATCCACACACACACTCCACTCACTGCAGCGCGCGACCTGCTGCCGCGTGTAATGCCACATCTGGAGCCGCTTCTCAGCGCGACAAAACTTCTACTTCAAAAAAACACGCAAACGCGAATTATCCGTGCGTCAGATTCTGTTGATAGTAAGTAGATTATTGAATCCAAATCTGCGTTTCTCTCTCTCTCTCTCTTCTTAAATGTTTGCATCTCTTTTTTTGAGCCCGTTGGAGACTTTCATACATTCAGAACTGTTAGACTGTCATGCACGATTTCAAGTTTGACACCATTTCTGTTTATAAAACTTGATTTTAATCATTATTTTTTTATTCTTGGTTTTGAGAARTACGATTGAAAGTAAGAGGATCGAGGTGCAGTTCTTCAATTTAAAAGTCCACTTCTATAAGCTCTGCTCTGTCACGAGATCGCTAATATTTACTTTTAAATGCAAAAAAAAGTAAACCCAGTCTGAGCTCCTGCCCTTGAGCTGGTGCGTTGATGCTGACATGAGTCAGAGAGGGAACGGAGTTGTGAAATTCAACAGCACCCCCCCTTCCCCCCACAGTGATGGAGTGAGTGATCCATGAGCCTCACTCACTTATTTTAGTTCATATTTATTTATTTGTGTTCTGATTCCATCTCTTGATCTTCAGTTTTTTTGGGGGAAAAAAGCTGGAGGAAAACCTGAAGGCGCTCAGCTCCATACTGAAGTGTTTAAGTTCAGTCTGCGGGTAAATGATTAAATAAAAAGAGAGAGAGAGAGAGAGAGAAGGACCTAAAAATACAGCGTTGGTTTCTTTCCCTACAAAGAATCATTTGAACTTCCCACTGCAGTGAGAGAGCGACATAAATAGTTCTGACATGTGGATGTAATTTCAGAAAGAGGAGGGGRAAAAAACTGATGTGGAGAAATAAAGCGAGCGGGTTGAACCAGACCATATAATAGATTATAGGAAATTAAATCGAGACGATTTTGATTTCACAAGCCGCCAGAAGCACCGAGAGGCCGAATGGAGTAGTAGGATGCATCCCGCTCCACTTTGAAGAGAGTTAAGTAGATCTGAGCTCCTTCGGTGCTGGTTTAAACCGTGCAAGAAGAAGAAGAAGAAAAAGAAGAAGGTCTTTTTGGGAGGCAGAGTTGCCTCAGGTCAGGCATGGGATCCTCCCTGCTGCTGCTCCACAACCTGGACTTTCTGCTCATCTCACTCTTCAGCAGTCTGTGCCTGGTAAGTCCCTGCATTTATAMCATTCTGGTGTAATACAGCCATCATTTTACTATGAGAGCTGCCAGTGTGCTTCCTGATTGCTGACAGCTCCTCAAACAGGGAGCAGACTTCACTCTCTATGTGCATCTGTWACGAACACCTGAAATCTGCACAATTGTTGGGTTCGAATGTTACCTCAGTGCCTTGCACATTGTGATTAGCAGATCAAATAAATTACAAATGTTTCAATACTTTACTTATTCTCTGATGATAAGGATTGCATGCTTTCACATAACTGAAATGAGAAGCTGTTTTCATCTCCGTCACCTCAGCGTTGCAACTTTTCTGCACGTCACACTTGGACTGCAGAGCTGATTACAAAGCAATGTGTTTGATGTCTCCTTTAGAGACAAATTGAAGTGGATTTAGAAAGGAAGCCAAGGTGCTGACAACAAACAGCTGGGATTAGTGGTCACACTCGTGTTCCATTAGGTGTATTGCCCCACAACAATACAAAAAGTGTGTGTGAAGTGAAGTCTGGTCGCCTAGCTCCTGCAGAATTTATTGTGTTTTCATACAGATTGTTTCCTCTCTATTTTAAGATTGCACCTGCCTGAGCCGAAGCAATTAGGCCAAATTTTTCCTCCTCCAGCAGCAACTGTTTCATCTCTTTTATTCACAGGGGCACGGTTTACTTAAATATTGTCATAGCTGTCTCCATAAAAGTGCAGCTGGACACACACACACACACACACACACACACACACACACACACACACACACACACACACACACACACGGACACACACTAACACTGTGCAGGCAGAGTTGGTTCTGTGTGCTTTGGCTGAGGCTGTTGTGCATTCAACAGGGCATTCCGCCCAGTCTCTGAGCTACAGTGCATTTTCCCAGTGATGTGGTCCATCACCACACCACAGCGGACCTCTAGGCTCGTTGGTTGGGATGGCAGAGGAAAACAATTAAAATGCAGCCCGTGTATTTATAGCTGATTCAACATTCAGTCATGAAAAGGCGCTGTCTGTGAGTGATGTTTGCCCGCCTGGTGTATTCCTGTTTCAAATTGTTGCCATTTTGACTCGGAGTGGAAAAGTCTGCGTCTGTGTTTAAAAGTAAACATGAGGCTTTTTTTTTTAAGTCGAGACATCCAGTTGTCAAATTGCAGGATTATGCTAGAGGCTCAGCATTAAAGCAAGGAAAATTTGAGAATAAATCCATCCATCCACATATCCTCTTTGCTTGCTTCTCTTTTCTGGGATGCGGGGAGCTGGAACCCATTTTCAGCAGATGCTGTGCAAGAGGCTGGACACCATGGACAGGTTGCAAGTCCATCCCGGGGTCACATAGAGACAATCATTTATACTCTCAGTCAAGCTGAGAGACAATTTAGAGTTACCAGTKAACCTAGCATTCATGTTTCTGGTCTGTGGGAAGAAACCGGAGCGCGTAGAGAAAACACACACATGCAAGGAGAGAAAATGGAAACTGCCACATTAAATGTCCTGCTAAAAGGCAAGTGCCACTGTTCCACCCTGTCATCATGTCGCTCTCTGCAAATAATATATAATAAATAAGAAAATAATACATACACTTTATATACAGTATACTTCATCAGGAAAAGTAAGGAAATATGTTTTTGGTAGACTATTTCTTTGTTGTAACGATGCTTCATGGCAATAAACCTTAAAGCGGGAACATGGCAGCACCTGGGGGGACCAGAAGCTCAAAACGAGTGTCAATAGCAACAACAATATAAGCTGTTYGGCAGAGAAGGTTTGGTAATTTTTTTATGTGCACAACTCACATACTCAGCTCTACTGCTCATTCCTCAAATGCATGTTCCTTACAAATGTGACACCATTTAAAAAGAAAATTAACAGTCTTCCTAGCAGTATATACTATATAC